GAGAAAACACCCCAAAAAAAACCCCAAAATCCATCCTGGAGGAGCGGAACCTTCACAAATCCCTCAGAGCTGAGCCCCGGAGCTGCAAATCTCGGTTTCAGTTTCAGGTCCCGTCGCTATTTTGGTGTTGCCGCTGTCACCAAGCCAGGGCGGGGCGGCGGAAGGAGAGAGCGGAGAGGATTTGTCTAAATTAGGAAATCACCCCAAAAATTCCGCCGCTGTTCCGGGCTGCTCCACGCCCCACTCGCCATGAATCGTTTCGATTTATCCGCTAATTAAACCAAGGTGGAGGTTAATTAAAGCGGATTTTAGAGCGCCGGGGTGGGTTTCACACCTGGGGAATCCTCAGGGTTCCAAACCCCTCCCAGACCCCTCCACACCCCGATTTTTTGGGCAGTTTCATCAAAATTTCCCATTCCTGGAGCCAAAAATGTTTCAGCGTCAGGACGGATGTGAGTCAGGGCTGAGCTGATTGGTGTCACTCGTTAATTACTCATTAATTACTCATTAATTAGTTCTGATCCACACTGGAGTGGTGCCGGTGACTTTTCGACATTATTTTTAGGGGGGGAAACCTAAAATTCAGCTGCTTTTTGTTTGTTGAGGGCCGAGCCATGATTAATTAATTATTGAATTAATATTAATTAATCACTCTGGAGGGTCACAGCCCCAAAATTCCTGATGAGTAATGGGGGGGTGGGAAATTCCAACTCATCCCGTCCCCTCCCCACCGGTCCCCGTGGGGCTTTGGGCGGGCTCGGAGCACGTCGGGAATTTTGTGGATTTGAGGAATCGAAGGATCCTGGAATGGTTTAGGTGGGAAGGGACCTCAAATCCCCTGCTGTGCCACCCCTGCCATGTCACCACTGTCCCAGGCTGCTCCAACCTGGCCTGGAACATTCCCAAGGATGGATCAGCCACAGCCTCTCCGGGAATTGCGTCCCAGCCAGGAATTCCTTCCCAAGATCCCACCCATTCCCTGTGTCCTGTCCCTCCATTCCCTGTTCCCAGCCCCTCTCCAGCTCTCCTGGAGCTCCTTCAGGGCCTGGAAGGGCTCTGAGGTGTCCCTGGAGCTTCTCTTTTGGAGCTTGGAGAATCCCAACTATCCCAGCCTGGATGGATGGATGGATGGATGGATGGATGGATGGATGGATGATGGATGGATGATGGATGGATGGATGGATGGATGGATGATGGATGATGGATGGATGGATGGATGGATGATGGATGGATGGATGGATGGATGATGGATGGATGGATGGATGATGGGTGGATGATGGATGATGGATGGATGGATGATGGATGGATGGATGGATGGATGATGGATGGATGGATGGATGGATGATGGATGGATGGATGGATGGATGGATGGATGGATGGATGATGGATGATGGATGGATGGATGGATGATGGATGGATGATGGATGGATGATGGATGATGGATGGATGGATGATGGATGGATGGATGGATGGATGGATGGATGGATGGATGATGGATGGAGCCAGGCAGGCCAGCCAAGGCTCCAAGGCCTCCTGTGGAGCTGTTGGGTTCCAGTGCTGGGCAGCAGCACCACACTGCTCCGGCACCTCTCTGGGCCACGGCCAAACCAAACCAAACTGAACCTACTTCCACGCACGTGCACACAGCCCACACCTGCACCCATGGCCAGCACCACCCGGCACCTCCACAGCTTCCCACAGATGCTCCTGGCACCTGCAGCCCTGGTGCCGGCCCCGTCCCACCGCTCTCCCACCACAGCCCATCCCCGTGGTCCCTCTCCCACCGCTCTCCCACCACAGCCCATCCCCCTGGTCCCTCTCCCACTGCTCTCCCACCACAGCCCATCCCTGTGGTCCCTCTCCCACCGCTCTCCCACCACAGCCTGTCCCCACAGGCCACAAATGGTACCGGGTACCTCAGTGACTTCTCCTCCCAAGCAGAGTGGAGGAAGCCCAGCAGGCCCCAGCACCCACCCACACCCCCACAGACTCTAGGGGACCCACAGGGCTCCCTGCACTGGCTGAGTGACCCAGTGAGCCTGGGGGAGACCCCAGGNGGCCGCGCTCCTCGCCCGGCTCTGCCATCCCGGCCATTTCCCGGCGCGGCTCCCGCTCCTCCCTCCCGGAGCTCGCTGTGTCCGTGGGTCCGGTTCTGTCCGTGTGTGCCCCTGTCCGTGTGTCCCTCAGTCCGTGTGTCCCCCTGTCCGTGTGTCCGTCAGTCCGTGTGTCCCCCTGTCCGTGTGTCCTGCTGTCCGTGTGTCCCGCTGTCAGCCTCAGGGCTTGTGGCCCTCGGGCTCTGTTGCTTTCCCTGGTTTTGGCGAGTCCGTGGCTGCAGCCCCGGCCGGTGACCGAGGTGACCCCACGGGTGACCCACGAGGTGACCTTACAGGTGACCCCACGGGTGACACCACGGGTGACACTACAGGTGACCCCACAGGTGACCCCACGGGTGACACCACAGGTGACCCCACCGGGGCCGTGCTGCTCTCGGGGCTGTGGGCTCAGGGATGTTTGGGGTGAAGGACCCCAAATCCCACCCGGGGTCACCTCCCGCTGTCCCCTCCCCTCCCAGCGTCCAGCCTGGCCGGGGACACTCCCGGGGTTCCGGGGACATCCACGGCTTTTTTTGGGACACCAAAACCCGCTGGGGGTTCCCAGCCCTGGCGGTGCCCCCCCAGCACCAATTCCCGGTCCCGTTCCGCTGCTCCCGGTTCTGCCCCATCCTCACCACCAGGATGAACCTGGAGAGCGGCTCCGTCCGGCCCCCGCTGCTCCGGCTTCTTCAGGGACATTCCCAAAATTGATAGGAACGGTTTTGTGTGGCGGTGGGGGCAGTTCCAGAGGGTCTGGAGCAGTTCCGGAGGGTTCGGAACAATTCCAGGGGGTCGGGAGCCGTTCCAGAAGATCAGGAACAATTCCAGAGGGTCGGGAGCAGTTCCAGATTTTCAAGAACAGTTTCAGATTTTAAAGAACCATTTCTGAGAGTCAGGAAGAATTTCAGATTTTCAGGAACAGATCCAGAGGGTCGGGAACAATTCCAGAGGGTCTGGAGCAGCTCCAGAGGGTCGGGAGCAGTTCCAGAAGATCAGGAACAATTCCAGAGGGTCAGAAGCAGTTCCAGAGGGTTCGGAACAATTCCAGAGGGTCGGGAGCAGTTCCAGAGGGTCGGGAGAAGTTCCAGAGGGTCGGGAACAATTCCAGAGGGTCTGGAACTATTCCAGAGGATCGGGAACAATTCCAGAAGATCAGGAACAATTCCAGAGGGTCGGGAGCAGTTCCAGAGGGTCGGGAACACTTCCAGAGGGTTCGGAACAATTCCAGAGGGTTGGGAGCAGTTCCAGATTTTCAAGAACAGTTTCAGATTTTCAGGAGCCAATTCTGAGGGTCAGGAAGAATTTCAGATTTTCAGGAACAGATCCAGAGGGTCAGGAACAATTCCAGAGGGTCTGGAGCATTTCCAGAAGATCAGGAGCAGTTCCAGAGGGTCAGGAACAGTTCCAGAGGATCGGGAAGAATTCCAGAGGGTCGGGAACAATTCCAGAGGGTCGGGAGCAGTTCCAGAAGATCAGGAACAATTCCAGAAGATCGGGAACAATTCCAGAAGATCAGGAACAATTCCAGAGGCTCAGGAGCAGTTCCAGAGGCTCGGGAACACTTCCAGAGGGTTCAGAACAATTCCAGAGGGTCGGGAGCAGTTCCAGATTTTCAAGAACAGTTTCAGATTTTCAGGAGCCAATTCTGAGGGTCAGGAAGAGTTTCAGATTTTCGGGAACAGATCCAGAGGGGCAGGAACAGTTCCATATTTTCCAGAACATTTCCAGAGGATCAGGAGCGGTTCCAGAGGGTCGGGAACTGTTCCAGAGGGTCGGAAACAATTCCAGAAGATCAGGAACAATTCCAGAGGGTCGGGAGCAGTTCCAGAGGGTTGGAAACAATTCCAGAGGATTGGGAACAATTCCAGAAGATCAGGAACAATTCCAGAAGATCAGGAGCAGTTCCAGAGGGTCGGGAACAATTCCAGAAGATCAGGAACAGTTCCAGAGGGTCGGGAACAGTTCCAGAGGATCGGGAACAGATCCAGAGGGTCGGGAACAATTCCAGAAGATCAGGAACAGTTCCAGAGGGTCGGGAACAGTTCCAGAGGATCGGGAACAGATCCAGAGGGTCGGGAACAATTCCAGAGGGCCGGGAACAATTCCAGAAGATCAGGAGCAGTTCCAGAGGCTCAGGAACAATCTCGGATCCTCGCTCTGCGCCCATGGGAAGCTCGAGGAGTTCATTTGGGGTTTTGGGGGGCCCTGCAGGATGTGGGGATTCCCTTTTGGATCCCGGCCCAGCCCCGGCGGCTTCGGGGAGGTTTTTATTCCCAAAATAGCTCAAACCTCAACAAGAAACCCTCGGGGCTCCTCCCGGATCTGGGGAGGGTTTTATTCCCAAAGGAAAAAAAAAAAACGAACCAGGGAAAATGGGGAAAACGGGGAAAGAAATGAGAATTTTGGGTGGGATTCTCTCTGGGATAATTCCCCTCCTGGCGCCAATTAGGATTTTAATCCAAATTATGTTTTTGGGGTTCCGTATTATCCCTAAAATCCATCAAAATCCACATTTTTTATCATTCTCGGGTCAGCAGTGGGAGGTGGGAGGTGAAGAATTCCAATTCTGCAATTCCCGACCGGTTCCATTCCAGTTTGGGCCAGATTTCCAGGAATTCCAGGAATTTTTCATTCCGGCCATGGAATTGAACAAATGAATCCCCAGAATTCCTGGGAAGAGCTGAACTGACCGGAAAAAGTGAATTTTAAATGTTATGGATGCAATTTTTTTTTTAATTTTGGAATCACGGAATTCTCGGGATCAGAAAAGATCTTAAAGCTCATCCGGCTTTTCCATGGACAGGGAATTTTCCAGGCTGCTCCAAACGTTTTTAAATCCCTGAGAAACCGACAATAAATTGATTTTAAAACGGTTTAATCTGGAATTTTTATTTTTTTTCCCTTTTTTTCCCAGCTTGTTATGGAATTGTCCAGGTTCCCACCGGCCCCTGGTTCTGCCGGAAATGCGAATCCCAGGAAAGAGCAGCCAGGGTGGTGAGTATGGAAAAATCCTGGATGGGATCCGAATTTTTATATTAAAAATTAATATTTTATTGATTTTCAATTATTAATTAATTTTCAATTGCGCCAGTTAACTTTGAAATGGATCGATTGAGTTTCGATTGCATCGATTAATTTGGAATTTTATGGATTGAATTCCTATTTTATCCACATAATTTGAATTTTTTATAGGTTAATTTGAAATTTTGTCAATTAATTTTTGGGTTTTATGGATTAATTTTTAATTGTGTCAATTAAATTTCTGTTTTAGCCACCAAATTGAAATTTTCACTGGTTAATTTTCAATTGGGTCAATTAATTCAATTGTGTCGCTTATAATTAATTAATTTGTGTCGATTATTAAGTTTCAGTTGCATCAATTAAATTTCTATTTCATCCATGAAATTTCAATTTTTATTGATTAAATTTCAATTTTTATTGATTAAATTTCAATTTTTATTGATTAATTTTCAATTGTACCGCTGAGCTTTTAATTTTACTGATCAATTTTCAATGTAATAGATTAATTTTGAATTTTATTGATTAAATTTCAATTCTATCAATTAAGTTTCTATTTTATCCAGGAAATTGAAATTGTATCAATTAATTTTCAATTGCATCGATTAAGTTTGAATTCTATCGATTGATTTTCAATTGTGTCAATTGAGTTTGAATTTTATCGATTAATTTTCAGTTATTACCCGTTAATTTTTAATTTTATTGGTTAAATAAAATATTTCTATGTATCGATATTAATAAAAATATCAATAAAATAAATAAATAATAAAATAAAATAAAATAAAATAAAATAAAATAAAATAAAATAAAATAAAATAAAATTAAATTAAATTAAATTAAATTAAATTAAATTAAGTAAAATAAAATGAAATAAAATAAAGTAAAATAAAGTAAAATAAAATAAAATAAAATAAAATAAAATAAAATAAAATAAAATAAAAATATTGATAAAATAAATTTTCAGCTGTACCGATCAATTTCAAATTTTACCTATTCAATTTCAAATTTAACGATTCAATTATGCCATCAATTGGGAATTTTTTTCCCATGAAATTCCCTTCATTTTTCCACTTTTTGCTCCATTCCAGAGGTGCGAGCTGTGTCCCCACAAGGACGGAGCCCTGAAACGCACGGACAATGGCGGTGAGTATTTTCCGATATTCCCACCCGGAATTCCGCTCTCCGTGATTTTTCCCAACAAATTCACTCCCTGGAAAGGAATTTTTTCCCCACCCGAGCTCGGCTTGGCATCAAAACCAGCCCAAAATTCCGGAATTTTGGGGTTGATCCCGCTGGAATCGTTTCCCGATCCGCAGGATTTTAACGGGATCCAGGCCCCATCCCAGGGGTTTTTCCATGCGGGATTTTCCTGCTGGAATTCCTCGGGATTTCCGCGGATCCGAGCTCCCGGCTCCATAAATAAATGAGCTTTTCCCTGGATTCTTCTCAGGCACCGTTCCCTGGAGGTTTTCCCTGGATCCTTTTTTTTGGGATGGAGGATTTTTGGGGTGTTTTTGGGATCAAGGGATTTCTGGGGATGGAGGATTTTTCTGGGATGAAGATTTTTCGGGATGGAGTTTTTTATGGGATGGAAGGTTTTTTGGGATGGAAGGTTTTTTGGGATGGAGTTTTTTTTTGGGATGGAAGGGTTTTTTTGGGATAGACACTTTTTGGGATCTTGGGAAGGAAGTTTCTTTTGGGAATGGAGTTTTTTCTGGGATGAATTTTCCTTCTCATGGATGATTTTTTTGGGATGGAAGGAGTTTTTTTTATGGGACAGAGGTTTTCTTGGCATTGAGGTTTTTTGGGATGCAGGTATTTTTGGGATGAAGGGTTTTTTGGGATGCAGGTATTTTAGGATGAAGAGTTTTTTTGGAATTCAGCTTTTTTGGGATGAAGACTTTTTTGGGATGCAGCTTTTTTTGGATGCAAGTTTTTTGGGATGTGGGTTTTTTGGGATGAAGACTTTTTTGGGATGCAGGTTTTTTGGGATGCAGGTTTTTTGGGATGAAGACTTTTGGGATGCAGGTTTTTGAGAATAAAGGGTTTTTTGGGATGCAGGGTTTTTGGGATGAAGACTTTTTTGGGATGCAGGTTTTTGGGAATAAAGGTTTTTTTGGGATGTGGGTTTTTGGGAATAAAGGGTTTTTTGGGATGCAGGTTTTTGGGAATAAAGGGTTTTTTGGGATAAAGGGTTTTTGGGATAAAGGGTTTTTTGGGATGTGGGTTTTTTGGGATGCAGGGTTTTTTCAGGAACAGACACTTCTTTTGGCACAGAATTCTTTTAGGACAGATTTTTTTTTGGCACCAGCAGCATTTCCAACATGTCAACATGAGGTTTTTTTGGAACAGCCATTTTTTTTGGGACCAAAACTTTTTTTGGCACGGAGCTTTTTTTTTTTTTTTTTTTTGGGATTCCTGGACCGAATTCCCATTTTTCTCTTCCTTTTCCAGGCTGGGCCCACGTGGTGTGTGCCCTGTACATCCCCGAGGTGCAGTTTGCCAACGTGCTCACCATGGAGCCCATCGTGCTCCAGTACGTCCCCCACGACCGCTTCAACAAGGTAAAATCCGGGATTTCGGGATTCTGGGATCATCCCGACCCCCCCAGCCGCTGGGATTCCCTTAAAAACCAAGGAAATCCCTGCCTTTGCCAGGAAATTTTTGGGGCTTCTCTGTGTTCCCCAAATCGATGGAATTTCAGGAATTTCATGGTGGAATGACTGGAGCCAGCTGGATCCATGGAATTTTGTGTTGGATTTTCCATATTTGGATGGGTTTGGGGGAAAGAATGGGAATTTGAGGAATTTCTTGGTGGAACAACCGGAGCTGACTGGATCCATAGAATTCCGTTTTGGTTCCAATGGGACAGTTGGGTTTTGGGGAAGAAAATGGGAATTTCAGGAATTTCTTGGTGGAACAATCAGAACCAACTGGATCCATTGAATTCTGTGTTGGATCCTCCGTATTTGGATGCGTTTGGGGGAAAAAAATGGGAATTTGAGGAATTTCTGGGTGAAACGACCAGAGCTAACTGGATCCATGGAATTCCGTGTTGGATCCGATGGCACAGTTGGGATTTTGGGGAAAAAAGGAGAAGTTTTGTGTATCCCACCAAGGAATATCCCAGAATTTTCATAGAAATCCCTCAGAAATTCCTCAATATCCCAGAAGTTCCTTCATCAGAGCGACACAACGGAATGTGGGAGGGAGGGAGCCGGGTCGGAATCCACTGAGCTTCAAAATCCCTCCCGACCCAACGCATTCCATGAGATTTAGGAATTCCTGGAGGCTTTTCCTCATGGAAAACGTGGCTTTTCCCGCTTTTTTTTTTTAATTCCTGGATCCCAGACCTGCTACATCTGCGAGGAGCAGGGCCGGGAGAGCAAAGCGGCCTCCGGGGCCTGCATGGCCTGCAACCGCCACGGCTGCCGCCAGGCCTTCCACGTCACCTGGTGAGATTCCCGGGAATTCGCCTCTGGAATGTTCCTCCCCTCCTCATGCCCTGCCCTGGATTTGGGGTCTCATTCCCCGGGGGTTCTGGGTTTGGGGTTATTTAAGGCCGGAATTGTCACTTTCTCCTGGCTTATGGAGGCCCAAGGAGTTCCCAAAGTTTCCAAGGAATTCTGTCGGAACCAATGGAATGTTCATTCCCCTGATCTGGATTTGGGGTCTCGTTCCCTGAGGGTTTTGGGGTTTGGGGTTGATCCCCCCCCCCCCCCCCCGGG